CCTGAACAACACTTGTTCGTGCCTTGTTCAAAGGTCCATGTGCCTTGTTTAAAACCGAATATTGGGCGCCGGTATCCACCATGAACCCCATCGGCTTCCCCTCCACATGCATTGTTACCCAGGACTCGGGGAGGGGGTCTGAGCCCCGTCTCCTTCAGTCCTCTTCTCCGGCTAGGAGGACTCTGGCCTGCTCTACTGCTCGTTCCCTTTCCCTGTTTTCCCCCGGTCTCCTTCCAAACCCTCTTCTTCCCTTTAACTTAGGACATTCTCTCTTCCAATGCCCCGTTTCCTTACAGTAAAAACAGTGTTCCTTATCCGGGGTCCTGGCGTGGCCCCCTCCCTGGGTTGGTCCCGGACACCCGCTAGGAAAATACGAGCCATTTCTCTCTGTTGCTTTCGGTTTTCCTTAGCCTGGAACTCCCGGTCCTCCTTTCTCAATTTCTCCTGGGCTCCCTGTCTTCCTTTCTCTGTCTTTCCTCCCTTTCTTCTGGAGTTTCCCTAGCGGTAAAGACCTTTTCTGCTACCTGTAGCATTTCCCTTATAGTCATCTCCCCTAAGTTTTCCTGTTTATTGAGTTTTCTCCTAATGTCTGGGCTGCCTGATTAATGAATGAGAGTACCACAGCAGACCGGTGGAGGTCCGCCTCAGGGTCAATCGGGGTGTACTGACGGTATGCCTCATAGAGGCGCTCTAAGAAACCGGCTGGGCTTTCGTTTTCCCTTGAATGACTGCTTTTACTTTTGCAAAATTGGTGGGCCTTCTAGCGGCCGCTCGGAGACCGGCCATAAGAGTCTGGCGGTAGATCCGAAGACGCTCCCTACCTTCTGCGGTCCCGAAATCCCAATCAGGGCGGCGTAGGGGAAAAGCCTCGTCTATGGCCGGTTGGAGAGTTGTGGGTCTCCCATTATCCCCCAAGACATTCTTCCTCGCTTCGTTGAGGATGCGCTCTCGTTCCTCCGTCGTAAAAAGAGTATTGAGCAGCTGATGACAGTCATCCCAAGTGGGCGGTGTGTATGCATGATGGACTCCAGGAGATCTATGAGACACTTGGGGTCTTCAGAAAAGGGCGGGTTCTGCGTCCTCCAGTTATATAGATCACTGGAGGAGAAGGGCCAGTACTGAAACTGTTGCCCTCCTCCCGGTCCCCTTGGCCCACCATCCGGACTGGAAGTGTAGGGACAGTTTCCTCCCCCTGTGTTGATGAGGGGGGCCCGTCTTCCCCTCCCTTTCCCGGATCCCTCGGGGGCGAAGTCTTCGACCCATTCCTCCTCCTGCTGCCAGTCCTGTTGAGGAGGATGAGGAAATTTCCTCCTCCGGGGCACTGGCTTGGCCAGGGGGAGTCACGTATGGAGGCGGCCGATCTTCCTCTGCCCCTGCGAGGGATGGGTAAAGGGGGGAACTCTCTGGTAAGACCGGAGATGGTGAAGGAGATGCCCTAATTTGAGGACCGGTCAAGGTGGGAAGAGGAAGTTTTTCCTCCTCCTTTATGACCAAGGCGGGCGTGACTGGGGTTTTAGCCCCGGGGGCCGAACTGGAGGGGTGGGTCAGAAAAACTGTTAACCAAGGGGGAGGGTTCCTCACCAGATCCTCCCAAACCAAAATGTAAGGAACTTGGTCTGGATGGCCTCGATTGTCTGGCTGAAAAATGACTGCTTTAACCTTAGTGATCAGGTCTAGGGAGAGGGAACCTTGAATGGGCCACCCGACTCCAAAGGTGGGCCACTCTGCAGAACAAAAGGTGTCGAACTTACCTTTCTTGATGACCAGACCCGCATTTAAGGCCCTTTCTTTAACTTCTGGAAAGTGAGAAAGGATCAGAGACTTTGGGGTTGTTTGTCCCTGTCCCATTGTGGAAGGAGACTCAAACACCAAGAGAGATAGAACAAAAAGGGTAAAGGCAACAATAATTCCACACACACACAACACTCTCCAGCACTCGCTCGGACCGGTCCTTCTCTCACACTGGTGCGCACCCCATTCAACCTCCTCACCGTCCAACTGGGATATCAGGCCGAAAGGCGTCCACTTGACGGGTGGTCGGTCGACTAGCTCAATTAGTTCTTCACCTGGCGCCAGGGTTCCTAAAATGCTCGAGCCCAAATGAGAGGAAAGCCTCTCCCAATAGGACCCTGTGGTCCTCCTTGCGAGATTCCCAGAATGAATCTCCCTGGGGATTGGCCGAATCCCGCCGCGGCCCAAATGGAACACTCAAGTTCCTCCAAATGAGGGTCTGGGATCCCCTCCCAACGCCTAGGACTTGGGATCGCCCCTGCTTTCTCGCAGGCAGGTTCTGTCTCTCGAGAAAATGAAATCTCGGTGGACCTCCAAATGTTAGGACCCGGAATCCTATTCCCCCGAGAGACAGAGAGCCAGGCGTGAATGCAATCAACAAAGCAGAGTTTATTGGACTGGCTAGCCAGGGTCGAGCTCCCACACGGACACGCAGGACCGGTTAGGAAAGCAAGACCCTGAGCCTCTTAGGGGAAATCTTATATAGACTGCAGTGGCGTGCATATTTTTGTTATCAACATTAGACAAGCAGGCAGAGCACATCCTGCACGTACTTCACATCTTGCTCGTACCTCACATCTTGCTCGTATCTCACATCTTGCTCGTATCTCACATCTTGCATTCCTCACATTCTATATGCCCTAACTGAGCCCTGCCTCATTGCTTATCTTATCTACATGGGATGTTTGGTACTGGTTTCTCCAACAAGGGGGTTGGGGCCCGCTGAGACCTCATATTCCTTTCACCTCCAGCATTGTTCATTTTACTGAGTATTGCCTTGGCTATTCGTGACCCCTTGTGTTTCCATATAAATTTAATGGTAGATTTTTCAGTCTCTTTGATGAATGTCATTGGGATTTTGATGGGAATTGCATTAAACATGTAGATTACTTTTGGGAGTATAGACATTTTAGTATGTTGATTCTACCAATCCATGAGCATGGGAGATCTCTCCACTTTCTATAGTCTTCCTCAATCTTTTTCTTCAAAAGTTTATAGTTTTCCTTGTAGAGGTTGTCACATCCTTTGTTAACACCTAGGCTATTGTAAACGGAATTGTTTTCATATATTCTTTCTCAGTTTGACAGACCCCTGGGCCCCACGGCACCACTTGGGGTGCACTGGGGACAGTCCGCCCCGCCCCCAGCGGCCCCTGGGGGAGGTGTGTGTGATCATTGCTGCTGTGGGGGTGGGGCTGTAACACCTGGGGGACTGGCCCAGGGCTTCTTGCTTGTTTTTAACAGTGACTGTGCATCTTAATTTCTAACTTCTGTCTTTGTAGTCTCTTATCAGTTCAATTAACCAAAAGAATTTCAGAAAGATAGCCTTTTAGGATCTTTCTTCATTTCATGAATTACCCTGTTACTGTCTGTCAGCTGACAAACTGCTCTCAGAGCATATTATACTGCCACTTTGAGGAAGTGTCTGGATTTAATGGGAATGGTGAATTAGACAAACTATTGTTGATTTTTTTTGGGGGGTGGGTGAGTGCTGTGGATCAATCCCATGCTTCGTGCATGCTAAGGTAAGCTTTCTACCACTTAGTGATACCCCTAGACGTGATACTGTTTTTCGATGGATAAAAAATTTGAATTTTCATGAATTCTAATTTGTCTACTGTTTTTCCTTTGGTTGCTTGTACCTTTGGTGTTATGTTAAAAAAAAATTGCCAAGTCTAATAGTACAAAGCTTTTTCTCTGAGAAATTTTTAGTTCATATTTAGGTCTTTGATTCATTTTGAATTAATTTTTGTATATGGTATAAGATCATAACCCCCCTCCCCCCACGAAACGGGAATTGAACTCAGAGCCATGCTGTACCACTGGAGCCGTACCTCCAGCCCCCAACTTCATTATTTTACCTGTGGGTATCAAGTTTCCTCAGCACTGTGTTTTGTTTGTTTGTGGGTGGCACTGGGGTTTGAACTCAGGGCCTCATGCTTGCCAGGCAAGCGCTATTACTACTTGAGCCACTCCACCAGACCCCCAGTACTGTTTGTTGAATAGAGTGTCCTTTTGCCACTGAATGGTTTTGCCACCCTTATCAAAAAATCACTTGACCATATATGTGATGATTTATTTCTGGCTCTCTATTGCATTGGTCTATATGTCTGCTTTACATCATTATGCTACTGTTTTGATTACTACAGTAAGTTTTGAAATCAGGAAATAGGGGCTCCCTGCCTTTTTCTTCCTTTTCAAGATAGTTTTGACTATTTGGGATCTGTTGAGATCTCATTTTTTTTTCTATTTCTAACAAAATTCTTTGGGATTTTGGTAGGGATTGCTTTGAATCTATAGGTTCCTTTGGGTAGCCATTGATATCTTAACAATAGTAAGTCTTTCAGTTCATAATCATGGGATATGTTTCCATTTATTTATGTCTTCCTTAATTTCTTCCAGCAGTATTCATAATTTTCATTGTACAAATCTTTCATTTCCTAGGTTAATTCCTAAATGTTCTTTTTGAATATCCATTGTTTTTTGGGGGGAGTATCCATTGATTGTTGCCAGTTTTTTTCACTAGACTTTCTGAGTTTCAGATACCGATCTTGTATGCCAATTAACATTAACTAAACATGTACATGTGGTGGTGGTAATGATGGGGAATAGATTTTGTCAGTAGAGTTTTACTGAGTTCTTTTATTTCCTTTATAATTTGTTTGTAACCAGATCTGACTAGGATTGATTTGTAACCACATCTGTAGTAAGTTTATTGTTGCATTATTGTTAGGTTACTAAGATTGATAGCTACAAACTAAAAATAAAAGAAAATAACATAATAGCAAATTTCTTGACATATGTAAATAGAATTAGCTGAGAAAGGATATTGCCCAAATAGATTACTAATCCATTATTTTATTAAGGGAAATTGCTTTGTGGTTAGTGATCAGTGTGCTGTTAATCTGCATGCTTAATCTGTTGACTGATCTTAATGCCATAAGGCTACCAAGACTGATTTGCTGATTTCTCTGCAATTTTTTTCCTTAGGGCAAGAGGATTATGACAGATTACGACCACTGAGTTATCCACAAACAGATGTATTTCTAGTCTGTTTTTCAGTGGTCTCTCCGTCTTCATTTGAAAATGTGAAAGAAAAGGTAAGTTGGTCAGGTACTCTTCCCCTGAAAAAGGTTGTCACAGACTTTCTTTTGACCTGTCATAAATGACTTTAGAGGTTTGTGGATTAACAAAGGTATGTTTTTAAAATACCTTTTCTTTAGTGGGTGCCTGAGATAACTCACCACTGTCCAAAGACTCCTTTCTTGCTTGTTGGAACCCAAATTGATCTCAGAGATGACCCCTCTACAATTGAGAAGCTTGCCAAGAACAAACAGAAGCCTATCACTCCAGAGACTGCTGAAAAGCTGGCACGTGATCTGAAGGCTGTCAAGTATGTGGAATGTTCTGCGCTCACACAGGTAAGAGTTGTGTGGAACCCATATTGATTTATTTATGGCTGTGTACTTTCAAGGAGTATTGGGATACAGAGGTTATTTCTAACAGTGCTCAGCAGCACACACCTAAAGCTGCTCAGGAAGGATATGCCTGGCTTCATACTATGTGTTGTTTTGCTAATGACCTTTTTGTTTATGGAGAGCATTGTTGTTTTCTAAAATTCGTGTTGGTTAGCTCCAGTGTTGTAGCTGTACTGAATGATTTGAAGTGGTTAAGGCTGTGTTTAAACAAAACAGACAAACAACAACAACAAACCTTACAGGAGAGGTCCAGATAACAGAGACTTACAAGAGAGGATGTGAATGATTTTTGTTTTCCCCAGAGAGTTAAATTTTCATTTAAATAGATCTGACTTTTCTTTTTTTTTCATGCCAGATTCAACAATTGATGTGCCACATATTTTCTGGGGTAATTCATCAGGGACAGAGATTTAGCCAATATTTGAGACTGTTAGATCAAAGAAGGCTGTGTGGGCTATTTCTGCCATATTTCCCAGTCATGCTTTATCTAATATGCCTATTACTATGTTTTGGAGGCATTCCTTCCTCATGTGGATCTCTTTTCTTGCCACTTCTGAGTGTTGTGACTGGCACTCCTCTTACAGTTTAATGGGAACTTCAGACTGAGGACAGGGAGCTGTTAGTGAGAGTTGTAACCGGCTTGTGTGTTCAGTCTTTTCCAGCTTTGTAGTGGTGCTACATTCCCTTGTTTGAGTATTGTTCTGGAGGCAAAGGAAAGAATTACAGAAGTAATTAGCACAGACCTCTTGTAGTCTACTGGTATTGATGCTTTGAAGTTTGAACAATGAACAGACGTGTAATTAAAATAGAGGCTACTAATAATTAAGTTCATTTATATTTTTTTGCTTACAATTTCCTGAAAATGAACAATTTGACACTATTGGGTTCTTGAGTATATGTATACGAGGGTAAATGGCATGTAATTGTGCTATTTTAGATTTTCACTGGGTATTAGTATATAGGGCTTAATGCATAATTTAATGAGCTCCCAATTTGGTCTTGGGTTGAATAAAGATAAAAAATTTTTAGGCTTAAAAGAATATTCCACAGGGTAACTTTAAGGCTTAATATTAGATATTTAAACACGTTCTCCTAAGCCCAGTTTTTCCTGGCAGTTTAATCCCATTGTAAAAGCAGATATTTAAAAGTTGAGAAGGATTTGTGTCTTCTTGTTGCACAGACTGAGATTTAAAAAAAAAAAAGCCTGGTTTTTCTGTGTTTTGGAACCATCCTCTGAAAAGTGTGGCAGTGTGGGGAAGGGCAGAAGGATGTGTGTGGACCATCTGAGTCAAATAGCTAGACACTGACTCCATGTGCATCTGTTACATGCCCTCTGTTCTCTAAATAGGGGCTGCTTTGGGGGAAAATGGAGGCCATGTAGACCCAATTTTAGGTCACTTTGATGAAGCTTATTTTAGATAACTGGATCCTGCTTATGAAGCATCCAAATCCCACATAATTTTTACAGTGTCAACAGGTGTATATAATAAATAGTTTTGCAGAGAATTGGAAAGTTTTTTTTTTTTTTTTAAGTTGTATAGCCTAGACTGGCCCAAACTCACATTCCTCCTGATTCAGCATCGAGTGCTGGAATTACAGGCATGCACCACCATGCCCAGTGAGAGAGTTAAAAGTTTAAAAGGCTATGTAGCCAGTATATTAGGAGTTCAAGGAGGAGAACATAGAAAATGGGGTCTGTGGTTATGTGTGGGAGCTAGAACTTTCAGGACTTCATTTTGTATTTGTTCCTATAAAACTAAACTCTTCATATAAATAGTGGGTAAAGCTAGTTTTGTTTCAAAGGCTGTTTTTGATGTTTGGCCACAAAAAGCAAGAAAGGATGTCTTTTCTTTTTCTTTCTTTCTTTTTTTTTTAATGTTCAGTACTGAGGTTTAACTCAAGCCCTTATTGTGCTAGGCAGGTGCTCTACCACTTGAGTCACTCTGCCAGCCCTTTTTTTTTGTTGGTTATTTTTGAGATGGGTCTCTTGAACTATTGGTACAGGTTGGCTTTGGGTGATTCTCCTGATCTCTGCCTCCCAAGTCGTTAGGATTATAGGCCTTAGCCACCAGCACCCAGCCTAGCATTTCCTTTTTTGATGTGGGATATACCTTTGTTTCTAATAGTTCTTCTCCTCTTTGTTTCCTTATAAATTATATCTCCCTTTCCACCCCCCCTTCCTTTTATATTTGACTATGAAAGTTAATCGTAGAGGTCTAGAAAGAATTGTAGAGGAATTTTAACTCTTGTATAGCATTTCTACTATATAAATGATGCAGAAAGAAGAAAACATTTTAACCTCTTTGACTCTTTTTAAGCATTGATTGCTCTCATTTATTTTGTATCTAATGGAATGTTTGGGGACCATTCCTCTGGGATGCCATAATGGGACCAAAGTGTCAGGAGGGAACACCTGGGGTAGTCTGGGGCTAACACTTGCCACTGGAGCTGTCTTCTGGGACTTTGGGATCATTTTTACTTGGGATCAAACTGACTTAAAGAACATTGAAACCATTTTGGGTGGTAAACCTGTGGCTTCAGGTTTAGGTGAGTCTATAGACCTGGGTCCAAGGTACCACTACTTCTGAGTCACAGTCACGTTGGAGTTTCTGGCCGAGGTGTAAGTGTATTTCTACATCTTAATTCCTATAGATCCGATAGTATTCTTTGTTTTCACTCCATGCTTTATGCTCTGATAACCCTTGCAGGCATCTTAAAGCATTGTACTGCTTGCTAAAACTCATTCTAGGACTTCATTCTTTTTCTTATAACTTGGGTGGTGGTTATTTGCTCTAATAACGTTGCTGAATAACTGAAGTGTATGCTTTTTCTAGAATCCATTCTTTAAACTCCTCCCAGTTGCTACGGTTGCATAGTGAACACATCTAAATGTCTGAACCTTTTTATTTTGGGAAAACTGATCTCTGAAATCCTAATTAATTCTATCCAGATATGTCACCAAACTTAGAAACATGTAGCATGCCTGTTAGTCTGCTGTATGTGTCCTTCAGTTATTCAGGGGATGAATTCACATAAGCCTAAAATAAATTTTTTTTTTACAAAGGATATATGTCATTTTTTCAATAGAAATACTGGGGGAATCTTACAAGACTTAATTACCCATCTTGTGTGTACATATCCATTTTTCCTCTGGCATTATTTTCATTAAAATATTGCAATATTAGATTTCAGCATGTAATTACTTTAGAAGTCAACATACCATATTTTCTTAAAAATTGTCTGCCTGCTCATTTAGCCTTCTTTTGAGATGAAGTTACTACTGGAATTATCTACTTTCCAGTATTGGGTTTAAGATCTAGCATTTGGCATTTGTTTTTCTTAAAACACTTTGCTTCCTGTGAATTCACCTCATTTAATCCAGACTGCTATTGTACCTGCTAGTCTTTCTAATCCTCTAACCTGGCTGCTATTCTCTCTCCTCCCCTCTGTCTTGTAGAGAGGTCTGAAGAATGTGTTTGATGAGGCTATCCTAGCTGCCCTCGAGCCTCCGGAAACTCAACCCAAAAGGAAGTGCTGTATATTCTAAACTGTTTTCTCCTTCCCCTCTTTGCTGCTGCTTTCTGTCCCATTACTGTAGAAAGATCATTTAAAAACAAAGGAATAAAATAATCCTGTTTGAAAGCCTCTGCGTCTTTTTACTCACCACCTTAGAGCAACCTCTGTATTAGTTTTTGATCAAGAATACAATATCTTACAGAGTATTTTTTGTGATCAGTAGTCAAGTTGGACTTGTTTAACTTTCTGCTGCTTGAGTTGCCCGATGCTCGGAGCTTTTTGGTTTGGATTACCATTGCAAAAGGGAACATGGTCTGGCACTAAGAATGTCCTCTTGGAGAAAACAAGAATTTTAACACTTCTAGATGTCAGTTCTAGATGGAGAAAGTAATACAAACATCATTTTACTCTTATGATGAATTGTTAATTGTAACTGCATGACAAACTTTATGAAAAAAGGGTGATTTGCTAGTAGAGTGTAATGGGGGAAGGGAGGATTCCTTTTTGGTTTTCCTTTGTGCAGTGAAACTTTGTGTTGCTCTTGCTTTGGCTGTTTGTGCTGCGGTGGAGTATTTGTCAGTCTGGGGTGGGGAAGATATTGATGTATCTGCTACTGCTTTTTGAGTTCATTTGTTACATTATCTTTTAAGAATAGCATCCATTTTAATAGTTGACTTAAGGTTTGTTAATGTTGAAATGTAAAGCTGCCATCTTTATATATTCCTGCTTCTGATTTTATTGTTGTGAGGGAAACATACAATTGTGGTTACCTTTAAATTTTGAAATTAAAATATACAATTGTTTGTATAAATGCCTGGTGAAGCTTTATTCCTGTTGCACTGACTGGCTGTTAACTTTATGTATGTATCAGGAACCTACCTCTTTTCTTTCTTAAATCCCCTTGGCTCTGTCTAATTGGTGGGATTAAGGGACTTAAAAGTGAATATCTTTGCAGCTGCCATACTCTTGCTCTCTGTCTTTGCCTATGCCTTCCATATAATATGGATACCACTGCTTGGGCATCCTCTGTGTCCTGTTTTACATCCAGCTGTTTCATTTGAATGCAGAATTGCTTCCCTTGTTTCTATGTAAAATGTTTTAGAAATACATTACAAAATTCATATTGAGTGAACAAATAACACATGTGCTTGTTTGCTTCTGTGACATACATTGGTCTGCAAAAAGTTCTCTCAGAGGACCACTATTTCACTCATATCTGCTCCCCTACTGCATTGCTGAATCTTTTCCAGTGCCCTGTCTCGACAGAACTTTAAGTGAGATTATTAGGTTGAGCTTTAGGGTTTAAAAAAATTTTTTTTAAATGTTACTTTCTTTGCCCACTCTTTGGAGTTTGATTGTTGTAAGCTTGAATTCCAGCTCTGTTATACTGAAAATCAGACTGCCCATTTCTTCTTTTTACCCCTTTTCAGAAAGGCCTAAAGAATGTGTTTGATGAAGCAATATTGGCTGCCCTGGAACCTCCAGAACCGAAGAAGAGCCGCAGGTGTGTGCTGCTATGAACATCTCTTCAGAGCCCTTTCTGCACAGCTGGTGTCGGCATCATACTAAAAGCAATGTTTAAATCAAACTAAAGATTAAAAAAATTAAAATTCGTTTCTGCAATAATGACAAATGCCCTGCATCTACCCACATGCACTTGTGTGAGACAAGGTCCATAGGTATGCCCCCCCTTTGCCCTCCCAGTGCTAGTTAATTTTGATAATTGTGTATTGTCAGAAAAATGATCAGTACTAGTTTTTTGTTTTGTTTCAAAATATTTTTTTTTCTTTTTTTTTGTTTAAAAGCGAAGCATGCTTGTGATGACTCCGTAACAGACTAATTTGAATTGTTGAAGCTGCTCCCTGGTTCCATTTTAGACAGTAATCTGGGACATTTTAGGTTTTTTCTGTTTTGATTTTTGTTTTTTCTTTTCTTTTTCTTCCCTTTCTTGGCGGGGGGGAGTGTGTGTGGGGTTTGTTTTTTAGTCTTGTTTTTTTAATTCATTAACCAGTGGACACCCCTTAGGGGGAAGGAGGATGGATTAGTTCCACATTCCACTTCATAGATCTAATTTAGAAACTGTTCCCCACCTGGTGCTCTTAGGAAGGAGTATAGTAAATGCCTCATTTAATAACGTACTCCTTTTTGAAAGTTGCCTTTCCTCTCCACCCTTGAGTCGACCTAGTATTTGATGATACTCATAAAAGTGGGTGGAAGCTGTCTTGCCCCTCTTTTCTAGGACACACTTTATGTGACTGTGACTTTCAAGGAAATTTGTTTGCCATTTTGCTGATTTTTTTTTTTAAGTAGTCTCTAACTTCACTGATAAATGAAAAAAAGTATTGTATCTTTTGAAGTACACCAAATGGATTGCATTCATACAGACTTAAAATTTTTTTCCTTTGTTAGTCATTGTCTTATATGCTTAGCATAGATTTGCAACTCAGTAGTGTGATGTTCCTAGAACCCAGACGAAGACCTGGCACATAGAGAAACTGAGGGGTGGTGCTAGAAGACAGATGACTACAGGATGAGTGGCATCCTTTCTGATGATGAGGATGTGGGCCTGCTTCATTGAGAAGCTGGGGGGTTGGGGGAGGGCAACATCAACATGGGGACCAGGTAGGGGAATCCCTTTTTATCTGTCTTGCATTTGAGGAACCCTTGAGCAACCTGCTGAAACTCTAGTTTAATAAAAATCATTGCAAGAGTCTTACTAAGATTCTTTATAAGTGTTAGTAGGGATTTTATCAGACTGTTTTGGTTTCAGTTTCCAGTTTCTAAAAATGTTTAGGTAATCTTCCACCTTCCCCAGATCCTACTTCTTGTAGATTCATTAGTGTTGAACAGTGCTTTCTTATGTCTCAATTCTTTGTATATGCATTCTTTTCAGATGTATTAAACAAACAAAACCCTTCACAAGCCAGCCTGAGGGTTGTTATTTTCCCTCCGCCTTTTACTTTTCAGGTATTTAGAAGTGGGAACTTGACTCTTACATAACATCAATTTCTAACAAATTTTGGGATAAGACTTTGAAGCTTCATTATTCTTGTTTTTTATTATTATTTTTTTTTTTACTTGACGGTAAGTTTGAGTGTTTTCCCTCCGTATCTTCAGGTTTGTGCCTTCTGCCCTAAGTGACAGGCAGCCCTTATGTTCTGAGTAGGCCATGATAGTTCTCAGTGTAAAATATTCATGGAGCTCACTGCTCAGGTTTTGGGAGGAAATACCAGCACACCTCTAATCCATAGATTAGTTGGAAAGCAGCCACTTTCCTCCAAGTTATCTGAGTTAGTTCTCAAATTTGACTGTTTACTAGAGTGTAGCTTGAGCGATTGACTTTAAAAAAGTTTTCTAGATATTTCTAAAATGCTCCCAAATTTGAGAACCGCTGCTGTTAGGTTGTTGTTCCAAATTTAGATTTCAGAATCTGAACCTGTGCTATGAATTTGAATCATTTTCTTTAGGTGGCATGCATTATTTACCTTAAGAACATTATAGGAATCTATATGAGACTCTTAGAACCTCACTCCAGTTAAAGTTGATATAGTGTAGCCTCAGTTTGGTAGTTCTCTACAGAATGATGCTTGGCATGATTCCATACTGTTCTACAACTTTGCCAGGTTGTTTGGGACAGGTTAGGAAGAGCTTCCCAGTTTCAACCAGTGTTACTCTTTGTTGGCCACGTTAGGGACAGATACTTGGATCATGCTGTGATATCCTGGAGGGCAGAGATGTGTGTATTCTGACTTTTAGTACAGTGGCATGTGGGTCCTTGATCATTGCCGTATCCCTGTCTTAGAATTGAGCCAAGATTTGGCTCAAAAGTCATTGGATGGGCACGTGACTTAAGAATGAGCAAGTCAAATGAAGCAGGTCATGTGGTTATGTTGGTGAATTATGCATGCATCAGAAGACCAAGGGTGACAAGGTAATTGATTGAAGCTAATGTTTTCTACTTAAATATTTTTAATTTGACTTTTGCATATCAGAAGAACATGGGTAGATGTTCTTCTGATACGCAAATAGATGAAGGTAACATGGTTTTCTATTTAAATATTCTCTTTGACTCAACAAACTTATTTATAGTCTCGGTTTGGAAGGTGACTGATAATGCCCAGGGAGTGTGGTTTAGAGGTTGGAAAGGATTATTGCAGTCTTTTGCAGACTTTGCATACATTAAGATTTATACTATTTAGTCTGATACAACATTGGTACGTTACTAGTGTTGTAAAATGTTATTGTTTTACTGACAATTTTGGAAGTAGGCTCTCTAGTTTGTTAAAGCTGCATTCTTAGAGGACTTTGCTATTTGAAGAGTATGTTTCCAGGGGGAAGGAAAGAATTGTGGTGTGAGAGGAGCAGTTGGTAATATTTTCTTTTTTTTAAGGTGTGTTTTTCTCGCATTTTCATACTCTAATTAGAATGCCTCAAGTTATGTACATTTAAACTTATATTTTTTTTCTTTTCTGAAAATCTGTCATTAAATTGATGGTGTCTTACAGTTATTTTCTCCTCCAATTTCCTTTTTTTTCTCCTTCAGTTTTGAGGTTTTTACTTACTGTTTGGGTTCTGGGTACTGATAAACTCAGTATACAGTGACTTTGCTCAAGAAGGATTGAAATTTAGTTCTTGCTGGGTACATCTGTCCCACATTAGAAATTTGTCATGTAACAGTCTGGGGGGAGCAATAGAATCTCACCTGGAAGTAGCAACTCATTACCTTTTAGGAAGGACTGACTAGGGTACCTCAGATTGATTATGAGGAAAGTGACTTTCAGTCATACCCCTATTTGAACTTTCCTTGTTTCCTATAAGTCTTGCAATCACCCAACTTCAGAGCATGGTGACTTGACTACATAGGATAACTGAAGACCTCACTAACCATGTCGTTTTCCTTCCAGAGCTCTTTGAACACTCTCCAGTACTGCTTTGGGTCTTCTAAAGTACCTCTATTTTTTAAATTTGTTTTTAAAGTTTCAGTTTATTAGCTATTGGCACAATAATGCTGCATTGTAAACCATGCAGATAGTGTCTGACTACATTAAGCATTTATTTTCTCACTCTTGGGTCAGTTGGACCTGCCTCTGGATTTAGATTGGACTTAGCTGGACTCTTTGTTTCTTATTCTGGAGCCTAGCTCCAGAGAGCAGTGGCTACCTGAGAGTGGACTTTTCATTGCGGAGCACATTCAGAATTTCTCGTAGTCTGTTGCCTGGAGGATTTGGTAAATAAATAATTTGGTAAATTATTTATTTTTAAAGCATGTATGGCATTGAAAACATAGCAGAGAATAAAGTGGTGTCTCCTGACTTGTAGCTGGAAGTTTCTTTCCCTTATGATTTCGATAGCTACCTCTTCTTAACCACGTGGTCTGTTTCCACTTTGAACTGTTCCTAGCAGAGCCAAAGGCTTGTCCACGTGTGCATATCCATGACATATTCATTTGTCATTGTTTATTGAGCACATGTTCCACACTGGGCACTGTAGACAATAGAGAATGACAGTTTCAAGCAGTGCAGATGTAAGCAGGAAGAGATAAAAGACTTCCATCTAAATATCCCATAGGGGTGCTATGTTCATTGTATTCTGTGTGCTGCAGTGAAGATGGTCATCTGGAGCCCCCAGTGGGTACCTAGGTCACCACCAGGCAAACATGGAACCTTTGTGCCAATTAGAAAAGCATTTTGACTCATTCTGGTTTTTTTTTTTTTTTTTAAAGAAGAAGACATTTGGCTACCAAATGTCATATAAATAACACAAATCTACTTTGATAGGGCCTTAGATGTAGTGCTTCTTGTGTAATGCACAACTTGCATAGTTTATATTCGGTGTTGTGTAGCGGTGTCTGTTACTCTACATAGGTAGTGGGATTTGAAGTAGGCTAAGGACAGCGGGGCGTGTGTGTGTGTGTGTATTTTGTAGTCCTCATGCTGTATCACAGTATTGAAAATAGCTAGTGTAGTTCCTTAATTTTGCATATGGTGAGAAAAGGCGGGGAAATTTAGGTGACTTGGCTGTCGCTGCACAACTGTACAGTGACAGAGTTGAGCCGTGTTCCTGGCTTCCCCTTTATGGTGTTTGCAGTGCATTCTTACTAGACGCAGTATTGTACTTTAAGGTGCATCCTATCTCCTCAAAGTTGAACACTGCCTTCCTGCTCTACTTCCTTTCTCCTAGGATCTTTCCATACCTCTTACTTGCTTTAGAGGTAATTTGGACTTTAGAACTAGTTTTTGACAGAACTGTTAACGTTTTGTGAAAGTAGGTATTTGCCTATTAAAAGCATATCCAGTGAATCATTAAAAGCCCCACATTGCAGAAAAATGTGAAATATATTTAACAAAGAAGTACAGTGGGAGATTTAAAATTACTTTGTAGGCTAGTTGCCAAGGAATTTTACCAGGCCAGAGGCCAAGATATAAAGAAAGCTCTGAAATTAGTGCAGTGTCACAGTTGTAAATGGGCTTTGGTTCCTTATTACATTCTTTTTCTGAAAAAAAAAAAAAAGAACGAAGTGACAGATTGTCAAGACAAAAGTAAGCATAGCATTTTCTTATTAAAGTGAAGTGGAGTACAAGGTCATAACTAGATGTGTACTCTGAGACATGTTACAGAGCAGTGTGAGCTGTGCTCACCTCTTAGTCACCTAGATTTGTGGGCCCTATAGGAATCACTGAATCTCAGTCTGTAGGATACAGACCAGGAGTCTTCAGTGTAAATGGTCATCAGTTTACTCTGGTGATGTTTGCAGTGTTGCTAACACGTACCCTTTGACAGATAGCTTCACTTTCCTGACTTTGTAAAGTAAATGCATACTTGGTTGTTGTTAGGTGTCAAATGTAAGTCAGATGCCAGGTTGGTCAACAGTTACCTAGGAAGATTCAAGAAACATTCCCCTGAGATGCTGAATTTATAGGTATGGGATAGGACTTGGGAATTAGTCAATTTTTTTTTTTTTTTCTCAATTTTGAACCAGTGGCTCGAAATGTAATGCAGACTGACCTTGATTACATTTTGAGTGAAGCTTCAAAAAGCTTTTCAGGTAGAAATTTGGTTAGTTATGTTTGGGAACCAGTGCACATGGTGATAAGAACCCTTACACTTTCAAAAAGTTTGCCTGGATATCACTTAGGGAGCTTAATTTTAAAAAACAAAAATAGTATCTGGTGTTATTTTAGTGAATTTCTTGAGATAGGGCCTGGGCATCACTTAAATTTTTATAAAACATTTTTGTGGGGATTGGAAATGTAGCTTAGTTATAGAAGCATTTGCCTAGCTTGTGTTGAGACCTTGAGTTCAGTACTGCTAAACAAAATGAATAAAAATTGTGTTGCAGGACATCCTTCTTTAAAGCCCACTAGATTATTTTAAATATGTAGTTAGGTTTGAGAACCAGGAAACTAGATGATCTCTTAAGGTTTCTTTTATATCTTGACAGGAATTTTAGAGTAATGCTAGGCTCCAGATTCCTTATTGCTTTATCTTTGAGGAATAAGGTTTTCACTACTTGTAGTCGTAAGCCAGTATTTAATTAGAAAGCAAGTTTACAAAGTTCAGTGCCATATTATTGGTGAACTGGCACTGAGATAGTTTGTGTAGACTCCTAAGTAATTGAATTACTTAGGCAGCCATTTGAGAAAGAGAAGCTATGTGAACTGCAGAGATCAGCTAAGGTTTCAAGTCAAATCTGTTTGCCTAATAACTTCAAGATGAGAATACTTGATGAGTTTTCTTGGAGATGGGTGTCTTTTCTCCTCCTTGGGAATATTTTAATTCATCTAGAAAGGGTATACAGGATCAAATTCCAAATAGTGTAAGTGCTAGAAATGAATATGAAATTGAAGCTTTTCCAACAGACTAAATTGGACTTCTAGGAAATGAAGCCCTTAAAAAAAACAAGGGCTACTTTGTTCCTTTGCCTCAGAGCCCCTCCCCCTCCACCCCACCTTTGGGCAGGGTATGTCAGGCCAGTGTTTGCATGGTTCCTTCTCCTATCAGTGGCTATGTTGTTTAAGGTGGATTGATTTGCAAGCCTGAATGATTAAATTGGTAGCTGCTGTTTTTGCAGATTAGCTTAATAGTGATGAATTAATATTTGATTGTAGTTCTGTACCTTGATTTGTGATTTGGCTATAAATTGATGCAGTCACATGACCAGTCTTCTCAGAAAATGCGTGCATATGTAGGTTTACAAATTCTCCGTCCTATTGAGCCATGAGCCTGGAACTGAAAGTTCTCTTAACTTTTATGGACTTTGGAGTATAGCCTTATTAAGGTTGAAAATCTTGTGCCAGTACCATGCTATAGTTTTTCTTCACAAACATTGTAGTGTTAATTTTAATTGGCCCTTGTGTTGTTTTTTCCCACTGATCTAGTGTATGAGCTTCTTGGATGTTGGGATTAGCTCCACCTAGTGGTAATTCTTTGGTGGTACTAGGGATTGAATTCAGGGCCTAGTTGAATTCAGGGTACTAGGGATTGAATTCAGGCTCTCCCACTTGAGCCATAGCCAAGACCTTTTACTTTTAGTTTGTTTTTTGATTTTTGTGAGACAAAAGTCTCACACTTTTGTCTGTATGGGCCTTGGACCACTATCTCTTACCTCTGCCTCCCAAGTAATAACTAGGACCTCAGATGTGTACCACCACACCCAGCTTGTTTTTGAGATGGGGGTCTCACTAACTTTTTTGCCTGGATTGACCTCCAACCACAGTCTTCCTATCCCTACCTCTTGAATAGCTGGGATTATAGATATGTACCACCACACCTGGCCCAGGGGTGAATTTAAATTAAGACTTAGGTGATCCATAGTGTACTCTACCTAAATCTGTATACTGTTTGCTTATGGATCAGTGACAGAAAGTAATATGTGCTGAATCAATACCTTGGACTGGAGAGACTTCTGAATTATTCAAGAGTAGTTAAAGAGTAAGTCTGGGAATTCACAGGCAATGAAAATTTAAATCCAAGGCAGCATCTACTCTAGGAAAATAATTGCAGAGTCTTGTCTCTGTCTTTAATAGCTGCGTAATCTTAGAAAAGTCTGTGAATGTTTCTAAATTTACATCAGTAAATTAGGAATAATGGTAATAACTACCTCTCAAGTGTGAGGACTACATGAGGTCATATATGTGCGGGTTTTTTTTTTTTTTTTTTGGTGGGACTAGGTTTTGAATTCTGGGCTTCCCATTTGCAAAGCAAGTACTCTGCTGCTTGAGCCACATCTCCATTTTGCTCTGGTTATTTTATATTTTGGCAGCATGCGTTTAAACTCAGGGTCCTACACTTGGTAGGCAAGCACTGTACTGCTTGAGCCACTCCAGCCCATTTTTGTGTTGGATATGTTCAAGATAGGGTCTTCAGAATTACTTGCCTGGGGCTGGCTTTGAACTTCGATCCTCCTGATCTCTCTGCCTCCTGAGCAACTAAGATTTCAGGTGTGCGGCACCAGTACTAGGCTGCTCTGGTTATTTTGGAGATGAGGTCTTGTGAGCTGTTTGGCTGGGCTGGCCTTGAACCATGATCCTCCCAATCTCAGCTTCATAAGTAGCTAGGATTATAGGCATGAGCAAGCAGGACCTGGCTGCAAGTTGTTTTTTGTAAGCACAAAAGTGCTGTGCTATATTAGCAGTTACCAGATTTGCAATGGGAAGAATTTAATTATTACGTGTGAAGTTCTGACATCATTGTGATGTACTGTTAGGTATTTGTAGGAGATTTTGTGTTTAATCTGTACAGAAGCATAGATGATGATCATTGTTTTTGGCAGTACTAGGGTTTAGAACTCAGCCTCATGCTTGCTAGATAGGCACTCAACCATTTGAGCTATGTCTCCAGCCCTTTTTACTCTGGTTATTCTAGAGATAGGGTCTTGCTGTAGCTGGGATGACAGTTGTGCCACCATACCCAGCTTTTTTCAAAAGCTTTTTCAAGATGATATCTTGAAAACGTTTTTGCTCTGGCTGGCCTGGAGGTTGGTGACCCTCCAGATCTCAGCCTCCCATGTAACTTGGGATGACAGGTGCACACCACTGCACCCAGCTATTGGAGATGAGATCGCTTGAACTTTTTACTGAAACTGGCCTTGATCCTATTGATCTCAGCTTCCCGAGTAGCTAGGATTACAGGGGTGAGCCTGGCACCTGGTTTTTAGATTGAGTAGTTTTGAGAATTATAATGTTACAGCTAAAGATGGTTTTCAGCTTCCTTTAAGAATGCAGAGATAGCATTTCTACCATGTACTTTAATTTCATAGAAGTGCTTTCTGCACATAGTACGTTGTTTCTGAAGAGTTCCATATGTGTTCTCTCTGAAATTGCTCTTGTCTTTTTGTGGCTCCTGAAAAACAAGAAACCACTAAAGATTAGGCCAGCTGTGTGGTTTACTGAGTCCCAGAATTAAAATTGGCTGTGTCAAGTTGACCAAACATCTCAAGCTAACACTAGGATCTTGCTGGAAGGGATAATGAATGCTCAGGAGACATTTTTATTTAGATTCATGGATCTCCTAAATGCTTTTGTATAAAGATACATAACATGTTTGTTTAGTACTGAGAGGCAGGCCCTCTGTGATACAGTAACCTGGATGAGGGTGGTTCTAGTAAGCATGAAAATAAGTGGGGAGTTACAGAACACACTAGAAGAAAGCATATTTAGTTGCTAATATACAGAAAGGTGGGAAAATGA